TCAGATCATGACCTGCATTGCTATACACTCTAGCTTCAGTCACTGGAAAACAAGCTAACAGCTTCCAGTCCAAGCTGTGTCTGGCAAACGTGTATGCTGTTCATTTAGTCAGCAACTTCTAAAAACTTGTCATCATCAAGAGCAGGCAGCAGGAGAAAGGAAGAGGAATGCAATTGCAGTCTTCAAGCAAACACTTCCTCCTCTATCTCAGACCATAAAACTACACCGCTTCAAGCTAATCCCTGTAATTAGCTGCCCAGCCCTTTCCACTTTATTGGCTGTTTTGTGCAGTCAAAGCCACATTGCCAAAGGGAAGGGTCAATCATTTGCCCTGCATCTGCTCCAGGCAGTGATAGGACACAGGGTAGATATCTAGGGTAGAACTAGTTAAATGCAGATTCAGGACACTGAAAGCAGGCGTGGGGGAGGAGAAAGGATCCCAGAATAAAGGTACTGAGAATATGCAGAACAAGTTGCTTGGCCAGGCCAGGCCATGAAGGAGCAAGCCATCTCTTTGCTCCTTGGGCTTTCATGGAGGGAGGGGAGCACAGACAGATGTATATGTGTGTGTGTGTATTTAGGAGGTGAAACAAGCTACCAGTTGGCTGGGAGGACAGGGCAGGACTGCTTTTTCACCATGCTGAATTTGGGTCAGAAACCAAGAGGAACAGCATTCATAGGAGTCACTCAGCATTCACAGGTCATTCAGTCCAGCTCCTGCTATCAGGGACAACAAAGATCTTGAGTGAACTTCTACTCCATTCACTGCTCTCTAACAAACCAAAGGCTAGCAGAGATAAAAAACAAATGCCCACAGCTGTAATTCAAAATTTTAAAGATAATGGACCCTCAATTCCAACCCAGTATCCCTGAGAAAACAGCACTGTTCAAGCACTGCTTTCTCCTGCCCTTGTGTATACTGTTTCTGAAAGCCACGTCATACCAAAAGCTCACCCTCCCTATGCACCATGCAAGGATCAAAATATTAAAAACTAATTTCCTAGGAATTTTCAATTTCTCTATGACTTCTTCATGCCAACTTTAACAGAGATGCACCCTGCCCAGCATCATCATTCTAAACTCTAATTGAACATAATCTGTGACCTGGCAAACTCACACTGGCTTCATTTTATAGATGGGAGTAGGGGTGGAGGGTTGAAGAGAGCAACAAACTTTGGTGAGAAAAAGTGACTTACCCAGAGCTGGTGCAGATTTCAGCTGTAGTATTCAAAGGTTCTGTCCTAATCACTGCACTGGTAGTATATGCATTGACGGGGCTTGCAGAGGCTTGAGAGAATTTTTCTCCACTTCCTTTAACAAGGTGTTCATCAAACATTTCAAAGTGAATATCAAACAAACCAGAAAGACAGCTTGACCCAAACAGAATAGGACCTGTGCAAGCCAAGCACTGGAGTCCCACAGCTATTTAAAAACCAACATACAGCAGGGTGGGTATTTGGTACCCACTGCAAATGTGTCCATGGGTCAGGATATGCAACACAGCTGGTGAGGTGCCCTGATGTAGGTTTAAAATCAGAGGTAAAAAACAGTATGTGAAGTACAAGTAGCTACTTCCACTGTTACAGAAAACCAAGGGTGACTGCAGAGCAGGAAACCAACACTGTAGAAAAAAAGGCAGCATTGCAAGCTCAAGCTGGCAGGGTAGATCTTCATAAAGGGCAGTACAGGCATGCTGAAGGATGGAGTCCCACTGCCCTCCTGTCACACAAAGGAGCTCTGCATTGACCCGCATTTGGCTCCCTGGTGTAACTGTAGACACAACACTTCCCCTCACAGCTTCTACTTTTACTTGTTTAGAAGATAGCGCCTCATATTTGGGGGAGAGAGAGAAACTGTCAGTCAATTGCTAGGACTCGTGCAGAGTTAGTCTCTACTCTTTGGTGCACCCACCACCCAAAATGAGGTAGAAGATTTCTACCAAACCCAAGTGCTACTAACAGCTTTGGGAGGTGGCAAAGCTTTGCAGGAGCTCTTGGAAGGAGCAGCAGTTGATCAAGCGAGGAATTATCCTACACTGAACAACTTAATTTTTCAGTAGTTTTTTCTTGCACAGAGCACCTGTATGCTGCTTATGCTTGTTTCTTTGCTTACATTAAGTACACCCAGCAGACGGCTCCATCGTGACATCAGCAAAGGCATCGCCTTGTCCTGACACGGCTGGTAAGCAGAGCAGCTGGAAGACAGGTTAGGGACAGGGAGTCTCATATTGCAAGATGCAGCATCTGAGAGCTAACAGCAATCCTAAAAAAATAATAAACAAACACCCCCCATATTAGAGCACTCCATCTTTGGGATCTGGTTCATGGCTCAAACCACAGCTGAATCAAAATAAAGCTGAACTAGATTTTTAATTGTTTCTGAACTTGCAGACTTCCAAGTAATCCCATCTGCATGTCAGCCTTCCCTTCAATGAGTCCTCATGACATTCCCCATTGTAGCTTTGCCAAGCTACTGCATGGATTATACAAAGTGCAGAGAAATGAACAAAACTGCCCACTTTTAGCTGCAGAACAGATTGCAGGATTGTCATATCTTAGCTACCTTTCAGTAGCACAAGTGTGGAAAGGAAAATGAGATCAGAAGGAATGCTAGTTTTTCTGGTACAAAAAAATTTACCTCCCCCCTCCTCAAGATGGAGGTAAATCTGATCAGTTGCTTCTTTGTCATCTTTACTAGAAGAAGAAAGGGCAAGAATAAATCACCCGAGAACTTATTTTCCAAGTATGACATTATATTACCTGCTGTTACCAAGTTTGATCAATAAATTGAGGTCCCCCCCTCCTCTCTGCAGCAAGGATTGTTCATTGTGAGTGCTCTTAAATAAGTAATAGATCCAGATTAGAGGCCTTTATTCACCAAGACAGAGAGAATCTGACCACAAGTATTTGTCTTGTCTTTGTGTAACCAGCAAAATGACAATGCTGGAAAAGGGAGCTGAGTCTCTCTGAGAAGCACACTGCCTGGAAATAGCCTAGAGTCTGGTGTAGAAGTAAGGTAACCTTAGTTAAATTTGAGCCTGGTACAGTTTGGAAGAACTGAGTAATTTTGCCCGATAGCTGCTTAGCAGCTGGTAGGCGACACATACTACTGCCAACTCAACACCAGTACTGGCTCTTATTGGCAAGGGACAAGCACATTTCTCAAAACGCACCTGCTTTCCAGGGGCGGCACCTTAGTTCCACACCACCCAAAGACTTCCAGAGGTGTCCTTCCTCCTGTCAGTGTGAAAAATTACTGACAGCAGAAGCATCACAACAAGCAAAGGTTAAAGCTACGCTGACTAAAAAGTAAAAAAAAAATCTTGCAGCCCCCTGAACTACAGTCCTTCCCCTACATAATTTGTGGCTCCTTCCTCCGTTCTTGGTGTCTCCTTGTTTTTCCTTATCTTGGCCCAACAAAGGGTACAATGCAATGGCTTGGTAGTCACACAGATTCCAGTTACAAGAGACAGCCAGTTGCCAGACAAAGCACGGGCAAGCTAAGCTGCATTTAAGAGCAGCCCAAGCTAAGGCAGTTTCAAAGGAAAGGTGTGCTCATGTAAATCAGCCCTTGGGTATGGCAGATCATACTGCTGTACTCAGTGGCTGCCAACAGAAGCACCCCTTATCCTCATGTAGGTGACAATCAGCAAAGTCTTTCAGGCCAGGAGTTCCCTGCAGCATCTAGTTGAAACATATTAGAGAGGCGGGAACAAAAATTTGAATGACAACCTCCATCGTGAAAGAGCAGAAAAAGTGAAAACTCAAGTAAAATCTTAAGTATCTCAAGTACTAGAGGTAAGAGTAAAGATGGGCTTCGCCTGGTAACTTTAGATGGAGGGATAAACAATATAAGTGGTTTTGGATTCTGGTGTCTGCTTCATATATTCTAATTACCCATCCCAGAAAGGCAGCTTAAGAGAACACTTGGGAGTTCAAAAGACTTCAGTAACCTTGTTCAAAGCTTCAGGAGGTTCTAGAAAGCATATGACAGATGAATCAGAAAATATACTTAAGATGGTCTCATTTTTCTTTTGCAGTAAGCCATACTAGAGCAAATGATGATTTTTGCAGTGGTCTGTGCCCAGAAAGCACGAATAGGGAGTCTGGCTAGATTACTGTTCTTAGCTCTGCGTCAAGGAAGAGTAAAATGCAACATAACACAAGGTCTGGAAATATTATCTATCATGTAGACCACCATTCTTCAGTATGTACACTTTAAGATACCCATAGATGAAATGCTTTGGGATCTGTTGAAGGGACTAGCTATTCAAGGAGAATCTTATTCAAGGAAGCTCTTCAAATCACCTTTTTTTTTTTTTTTAAGCATATATACAGAGGTATGAACATTCTGGTAACCCAGGAGTATAAAATACAGCACTGATCTCTATTTCCCACAGTCACTTGTTTCAAATTTAGGCAGTATTTTCTTTGTCACTGGACAGAGGACAGGAAATGCAGTCAAGCTATTTATCACCTCATTTCCAGGTAATGAAGACAAATGTTCAAATTCTGCCATTCCCTGGCAAAATGTTTAAGCAGAAGCCCCTAGGACAGGGACTGGTTTTCTGCATTTGCATAGCACTTTAAAGAAGGGGTGTTAAGTGCCAACTTGTGTTCGTGGGAACTCCCCCCAGTACAAATGTTAGTAACACCACCACGACATTTTGCTATGCTAAGCCCCCCAAAGTGTTTCCAGTCTTTCAACATCAATCACCACAACTGAAGCCAGCAGTAAATTGAATCTCACATTCCACTGGTGCTGGTTTTTGTTAGAAATGATTTGTGATAGATATGGTGGAATATATTGATTAGTACTGACAGTCCCAGTTTCCCAGGCGCTTGTAGCACTGCCATTCCAAAATGACCTGCTTTCCACCTTGTCAATTTTCTTCTGCAGAGTCCGTTATAAATATCTATTCTATTATGAGAGCTTCAGCCCCCTCCAGAAAACAAAACAAAAGGGTCAGGCAAGTAAAAAATCAGTACAATAAAAAAAGGTTTGCAGTGTTGCAAAAGAGCTTGTTTTTATTGAGAGATTTTGTGTCAGGGGAAGAAAAGGCACAAAATAAGTTACAAAGACATTATATGAACTGTATGACTCAGAGGCAGTATCAGAACTCTTACAAATCACCTAAAAGTTGGCTTATTAACATAGGTTAGCCTCTACAAAAACCTTTAAAAAAAAAAAAAAGAGAATATTTCAAATGACCAAAATCATTCAGAAAGTCAGTGCGAATGTAAAGACCACCAATATTACCTTTTGACTAAAATCACCTGGGCTTACCACCATCATCCTCCCTTAGAAGACAGATATCACTGGTAAATATGCAGTATTACAGAATTATTTTAAAAACCCATTCCCATTTTATAAATCAAGAACTTGATATTTACTTTTTTTTTTTTATTTGTACCTCCAGTGACATACAGTACATACAGGTAAGGCAGTATGCATAGGAAACACCTTAAGAAAAAACAGAACAGGTAAGTGCAATTATTCTGAGTATTTCAACATTTGTTATGGCCCCTCACCTATGGCAAAGAACATCTTAAAAAGATGGATCCAACAGCTGTTCACAGAACATATGAATATACCACCATAAACGGTCTATTGTTGAAAAACTTATGCTGTCTTTAGCTGTGACTTCTCAGATAAAGCATTCTAAAAACAGTTTTCAGCAGTACAACTCTGAGTTAACAACAGCACACCAATACAGTTAAAGAAGAGAAAGTACTTCTGAAATATATCAATCCTCATTAACATGGAAAGGCTTGTAACACTCAGTATTCAAGTAACTCAAATTAAATATCTGAAAATACACACACCAACTATATACAACTTTATTTTTGTTTGAAGCAGTGAATCTATTCCCACTTTCCTGTTACTCAACTCTCAACCAGCAAGGACTTTTGATTACTGGTTCAAATTAAACTGCCAGGAGGAAACAATACAACATCTACAGGATATAGAGACTATACAAAGATTTGTTTTCATGATTATGGAGGGTTGGGCAGAAAGGAAGTAGTTTACCCCTTTGGCTGCTCCTCTGGTCAAGTGTAGATCTAAGTTGTCCTCTGAAATCAGCAGGGATGCAAATGTAACCAGACACAGAACTCTGCTATAAACATTTGATTATATTCTTAGGAGTTTCATTTACTTGACCTAAGACAACAGTATCACAGAAAGGGAACGCAGCACCAGCGACCGCTCACAAAAATTGTCAGCCCAAACTGTAAGGGCTTAAACCCTGCTCAGTCATGCACTGAGCATAACTGCCAGCGTTTTGGCAGTGAGGGGGCTGCAGGGTGCCCAGCGTAGGAAGCAGCCAGGGCCTGCCCTGTGCCGCTCCCGGCCAGCTCTGCAACAGGCAGCACAGAAACCCGGAGGGGATCTCGCAAGGTCCTCTGGCCCAACTCACTGCTCAAGCAGGGCCACCTACTAAAGCAGGCTGCCCGGGACCGTGTCCAGATGGCTTCTGAATATCTCCACACATGGAGACTCCACAGCCTCTCCAGGCAACCTGGGCCAGTGCTCAGTCACCCTCACGGTAAAAAAAGTTCTTCCCTATGTTCAGAGGGATCCTCCTGTGTTTCAGTCAGCACCCGCTGCCTCTTGGGCACAGTGGGCACTGACCCACTGCACTCCAACACCGTCAGAGATGTTTCTGGCACTTCTGCAAAAGCATGTTTAAGAGAGGGCAGTAAATGCCAAGAAAGAGAGATTACAGTGTTATAGCGGTAGGAGGAAAAAAAAAAAAAAAAAAAAAAGGAAAAGACCATGCCAGCACAAGAGGAGCTGAAAGGAAAGACAGCTGAGCAGAAGAAATGCCAAAGGAAAATCATAGCCTGAGCAGAGGCTGAGCGTAGACTCAGAAGGAGCTACAGCTCTAAAGGGACTGCGGCTGGTGAAGAAACCCACAGGAGAGCAGTTGAGTACGAGACAAGGAGCAGTGACAGAACAGCAAGCACAGACTGATTGATCCCAACCTCCTGTGCTGCCTGTGGCCTTGCTGGGGGGACTGAACGCAACGTGCAGCCAAGGGACTGGAGACCACCATGGGGTGAGGGATGGCATGGGGGAAAGAGAGAAGACTGCTGTCTGGAAGAAAACAGCAGTGTTTACCTTAGGTGGTTTATTTATTTTTTTCTTTCAATACCAAAACCAGTAACGAAAAGCTCTTAATTAGCAATAAATTAAATTGATTAAAACGCTCCAACTCAAAACTTGTTATTGCCCCCCAAAAGTCATGTCCTCAGCTGAGGTTAGTATAAAATTTCTGACCCTTCTAAAAGTAAATAGAACACACAGGAGAATCCATGCTCAAAGTGTGTAATTATTCTGCTCCTTCAAAAGCTTAGGTCTTTTAACTAAATTTAAAATGCCTTTAATAAAAACTTTAAACAGAAGGAAGACTTGTGGTCTTTAAGTCATGGATTCCTACATAAATAAAAAGAAACTATTTTGTAGTTTCCTAAAAATCAGTTAAATACAAAATTGACAAAAGCGCTCAACTTAAAGAGGTAGCTTTAAAAAAAAAATCAAAGTATTATTAGATTCAGGAAGGAAATGTAGTGCAATAAAAGTATCTATATTAAAAATATGCTTCTAGTTTCTACATGACTTAAATTTTAACAAGAACAGAATAAAATTTGTGCTGAAGAGTGACAAGGATCAAATACTTGAAACCAGCCTTTTAGAGGCATACTTGAAATCACAATAACTAAATTTTTTTTTTTTAATCACAAAGCACCCAGCAGTTGTCTGCTCTATAACAATTTTCATCAGTGTCTGCAACACTGATTTCCCCCCCACCCTGCAAACTAGCATCAGAAATGCCTATCTCCCAATCAAGTTTCTATCATTTAAAAACATTTTCTTTGAGCAGATGTGCCAGCTACCTCTGATGGCACATCTTGAAGTAAATATAACTTTCAATACAGGCAAAGGTTTTCTTACTGCCATACTTTTTGCCTGCCTCCTGATAAAGTAGGTATAATACGAGCACCTCAGATGTGTTGGTGGGAAGCGGTAACATGCATGCTAAAGACCTGTTTCCTCTAGAAACCTTTTCTATGCTATGGTAGGCAAGTACTTATTTAAACATACTCCATTCTATAAGCTTGCTGTATATGAGAGGATCCTGACACCCCACGGTCCCACTTCATTCTGCATACACACTGGAGAAAGGAGGTTATTTCTTTTATACTGTTCTTCTGGGGGCAGCCAGCTCTTGCACAAACTTTTAGCCACCTGCCTATTTACTGACAAACAAGCAGCCATGATAGGGCTGACTTGAAGTGAATTTTAGTTGTAATAGGGATTGAAACTCTAGAACTTATTATCAGTGTCTCAGACTGTGCATTTTATATAAATCTGCTAAATCCTATGAAGGCAAGCTGTTATTAGCAATGCTAATTTGTAAGGCTGATGAATGAACTAACAAATTCCTAGTCAGGTTTTATCAGTCTTACAGTAAGCTTTGACATTTACAACACAGAAGCAAACAGGCTCTGCAGATTTCTCTCTAATGACCTCATGATATAAATTCTGCATATTCTACAAAACCTATACTATCTTAAATCCTTCATTTAATTTCTTTGGTTTCTCAGAAACAAAGGCTACTTAAGTGAACTGAGCAATGAAAGACAAGCAAACAAAGGTAACTCTGTCCCCTAAAGCTCCAGAGATGCTTGTAAATACCAGTTTTAGCAGGTTGCGTGGAAGAATTTCCAAATGACTGCAGCTAGAACTAGTTCTGGACCATTGCTTTCCAGGAAAAAACATCTCTGGCACTTATATAATCTAATTCTATGATGTTACTTTACACATAGTCCCATATCAAGTTGACTGAGGAAATTAAAGAAGACTTTTATAAAACAGGCACTTCAAATTAGAACAGAAAAAATTTCTCCCATTAGGTAATATGGGAACTTTTTTCCAGAGTGACAGAAACAGCAAGTAGTACCAAAAATAAGATGAGAGAATTCAGTAAATTCAGACTGTCAAAGTAAAAGTTTTACCCAGCTCTATTAGACTTAAACAACAGTAGCACCTGGAAAACCTGAAGGCTACAATAGACTGCACAAGGCATTAAAAATACATAGCATGGAAAAACTCTGTATAAATCTGTTCACTCTCCAATTTTTCATTTAGATCTGCCATAGAGGTTTTCTTATGTAGGTACCTTACTACAAGATGTATTAAGTGGAAGAAAGGTACAAGCAATGAGACTCAAAATACAGCTATACCCTGAGCCTCCTGTTTGGTAAACAGCTGAATAGAGACATTTCTGACACAGGCATTAAGTGTGTCAGGCCAAACTAACTTCCACCATCAAATGACAGCACCACTCTTGGGCTTTTCTGATGCACAGATGCATAGATTCAGCTTTGTTAAAGAGCATGATCAAAGAAGCTCTAACAGGGTGGGCAGAGGTATACATAGCACACCACTCTTCAGCTAAAACAAAATAATACTAACCAAATATGTATTCAGTGATTATGCAGAAGACTCAGGAACAAGAGTTTTAGCTCACATGACTCCATTAAGACACTCTAGGAAAAGTAAGTTTGTTCCTCACTTCCCCTTTTCCTCAGTACAACCAGAACATTCTCTGGCAAACTGCTTTTATATGCTTAGGTGAAATAGGCTGGAAAGTGTACAGCTCAACTGCATTCCCCATGGTTCTTCTGCAAAGAATATTCTGCTAACTTCAGTACATCCATACAGTCTGGAAACCCTAGCATGGATTGGGCATTGGGAGTAGAGGAGCATGTGGCTGCAACCCTTAAAGCCTTGACCATAACAAAGGTGGCAAGTAGGTACAACCTGCTCCATGTTAATTAGGTGTCTTTGGAGAGGTGTGGATATGTTCTTCACTCAGCACCCTGACCTGAACACCAACTCACCTGTGGCCCTCCTTTAAAACAGAGCTTCTAAGTTTCTGGTGTGTCAGGGAATCTCTGAACAGCACTTTCCCAATAGCTAAATGGAGAGCACTAGCTTTGTTTTCAGAGGAAGCAGCTTAAAAAATAAATGTGTCAAATCACTTCCCTATTCTATTCTTTTCAGCCTATCAAAAATAGCCAAGTAGTAAAATCTTTTTAGAGGACTTAAGTATCACTTCACACGAAGTTCTGTGACAAAAAATACATCAAATTCTTCCCATATTTCTAAAGGTAAACTGTCAAATTAAATGATGACCAGTTATACAGCATTCTCCAAGAGGGCTTTACTAATTTTAATTATTTTAGTGACATGCCATTGCGTAGAAAAGTCCAAAAGAAAACTGAAGCACGCCACATTTTATATTGATCAAAAGAAGTTTCGTCACTAAAGCAGTAGCGATAACCAAAGTTGACATTAAAAAGGAAATTAAACTAATGTCCCCAATAGAACATCTTGGAACCAGTGCTAGCTCTGAAACGGAGAAGCTTCAAGTCAACATAAGCAGCAAGAAGGGCATTTCTACCCAATAGCTACTATCTTGTGTTTTTGCTTACTCCTGCCCTAAAGTGCTTCTACTGAATCCTCTATTTCTTTTGAATGTCTCCAGCCAATTCTCCTCCATGGCGTCTCACATGATCTGCCACTCTCCTTCACTCCTAGCTGTATTCAAGTATCACTTGTGAGGTCCCCAGGTAGAAGAATCCCAAACATACCTCACCTGACACAGTATTAAGATCCAAGTAATGAGCACCGTGGGAAAGCTTCTCTCATCTCTACCATAATTCCCCACTAAGTGAGCTGGCTGAAAAAAATGACAGCTGCAAAGCCAGAGGAATCCAGGGAAGGAATTCCCATCTTGGGGGCAGGTATCCTAGTGCCTGCGCAACACAAAAAAAAGATAACAGCACAGTCTGCTTAGTATACAAAGCTACTCCAGTAAAAAATATGGGATAAGGTCGTCATACTTCACTCAACTATAGCAAGGATATTGAGTCTCGGACTCTTAGCATCACAGTATGTCACAAACTGTGATGTATTTAGTGCCATATCAACCTCTGCTCTCCAGTAGCTCCCTCTGGGCAAACTTACTGACCAAAGACTGAGATTTATTAGTTGGGCCTACACAGACCACTTACGTATAACTTCAAAGTCACAAGTTCCCCCTGACCTTCTGACTTGGGCTTTCAAGTAACACAGTTGAGACACCCATAACAGCATGTGCTGTTCAGCTGAAGAACTTCTGCTTAGCAATAGTGCTCCATCTAGATACAGAAAATGCTGGCCACATCTGCTACAAAACACTGTGCAGCATCTCTCCCCAGTGAATGCTACACATGGCACAAGTATCTCAATATTATAAAGCATTACACTCCATGGGTAAGAAAAAAGTGATCGTACTGGTTTCTGTACCAGAAGGCTAGCTCTTACAAAACAAACTTCTCTGAAATGAAACTTAATGCACCTAAAGGATTTGGACTTCAGAACAAAGGGGGAGAACAAGTAATTTTAAGAAGCCTGATACTACATTACTGACCCCCTCCTGTAGGGTTTCTCTCCTATAAAACTTCTGAATTAACTGGCCAGGGAAAGTAACACTAGAGAATTCCTATGCTTGACACAAAAAAGATGCTGCCCTTTAAAATTCCAAAGATGCAAACATGGCATAGATTTAAAGTTAAAAAAAGGGCAGCAACTTTTATGGAAAAAAAATTGTTGATGTCTTCTTCACTCTAGTTTTTGCAGTCTTACATACATATACCTAATATATAAAAGTGCATTAGTGGAGAGGTAAGTTTAATTATAAGTTGAGGACTGTCACAATATCCAGCTCAGGTCCTGCAAAGAGTGATCTCCTCCACCTGAACCATTACAGTATCCTACTGTTCTAATAAAAATTCTGTTAAAGGTGTCCTGTGGCACAATGTGGGCTGCCAGTGGCAGATAATGACAGTAAAAGAATGGAGGGAGGAAAGCTAGCAGTTCCTGTCTGCCTCTCAGGTAGTTTACTCCACCTACAGTCCAAAGAGGGAGAGAGGCAGTAAATACCTAAAAAAACCTATTGGGTCTTGGCAGCATGTTAATACCACCAGGCTTACCACCATTTGGTTTTAAGTGAGCAGGCTTTATCTATTTAGAAGCCATCAGCAACAAAATGAAAAGTCATTTTTCCAGCTGTCCCTAATTCAAAATGTGAATGCAAAACTAAAAAATTATTTGAACAGATAGATTCAACCTCTCCAAGTAATTCTCACTACCTTACTGGGAACGCTTTTCTTGCATACAAAAGGATCAAATAAGGCAGAAAGACTACCCAGATGGGTTTAGAAGTGCCCTGCCACATCTCAAAAACTATTCAACAGTCTGGAAAAAAAAACAGAGTGAAGACTGCAGGCTGGAATTATTCTAGTGAAGCTCAATACAGGCAAAAATCACAATACTGACACATTGTCCACAGGGACTGAAGTTCCCAACTTTGCTCACAGTCAAAGTCTGGATCAAGTTTAGGCCAAGCAGGAGTGCTGCACGTGTGAACGTGCAGTCTCTGGGCTGCCCTCTGCACCAACCAGGGTAGCTGCATTTCACTCAGCTTTACAGTTCCCAGTGAAAAAACTTCAAGCAGCTAACTGCAACCTTCAGATGTTGTTTACTTTCACTTCATTTGAGAGTAAAGGAGCTTCCCAGTTTAAACAGAAAAATATTCAGAGGTCATCTTTTTTTTAATCCAATTTTTTTAGTTTAACATTCACAAAACTGGCCAGCGAGCCAACAATATACTTACTGCTGTTGTGTGACACTTTGCTATGAACTTCAAGTATAAAGACTAACAAACATTTTATGGAAATCAATCTTAATAAATAGAAACCCACAGGTTGGAGGATGAAGATGATAAAGTAATCGAGAAAATGGAATCCTTGTAATGCCTCATCATTGTAGCTGGAATATTTCAAGATTCCATATCCCTCTAATGAAGCACTTAAAGTTCAGTGTAAACAGGAGAGTAAAGTTGTCTTTCACAACAAGGTCAAGTAACCAAGTGTTTGAGCAAGCACCTGGTTAAGAAAGAGCATCAAGTAACCAAATATTGTGTCAAAGAGGTTTGCCTTTTTTTTTTTTTAAATGAGAATTTTATCTACACACAAGGTTAAATAAATACCAGCAGCTTCTTGGCAATTATTCCCAAAGTGTAACAGCAACTCATAGTTCCTCTTACCACTTCGGAGTTAAGTTTCTTCCAGAAATGAAGACACAGAGGGGGTCCATAAAAAGTGAGCTATATATTCTAACACACACCTCAGACATACAGTATGTGATAAATACCTCGCCTATGTCCCACCCATGAAATTACATCCTTCACAGAATTATTTCACTGCACAGAGAAGTTGTTGAGCTTCAATATTTATGGCAAAGTGAGGACAAGGTAAAAGTAGGCAAAGCTATAAACAGCAGTGCTGAGATGTGGGGAACATGTGACAAACATATGCATAAGCCAACCCACAAAAATGCTTGACGGATGAAAAGGAGGAAAAAAAAATATCCGTCATGTCCTTTGTCTCCAGGCTTTATGACTGCTCCTTCCTGTAGTTCTCCCTCCCAGCTTTCCGTTAGCACTAAGTTTATGCACAGCTCATGACTAACCAGCTGCACCCTGTAATTCTATACAGGTGTCTGTGTGCAGAGAGAAATCTTATGTTCATAGTTACCTCTCCTCTGTTCAACACACAGAAGCCATTTTAACATACAGTTTCAGGGATTTCTTCCCACTGAAGTAGCACACAGCACATTCTGTGACCACTTCCATTCTACAGAAAAAGAAAAGTAGATGTCTAAATATATCAATTTATACTGAATCCAAATCAACCACCTTGAAAATAAAATACAAACGTGCATTGATGATCTGTCAAAATCTGTGTAAGCCTAGGTAACTGCCTAGGTTTCAGAAATACATCATCCCACCCTTGCTGTCTCACCTGGCTTCAAATGTGGTCCGTACACTGTCATTCTGAATCACAGGAATTTGAATGGCTGTCTCGTATGGAGAGCATCACTGGTGTGATTAGTCTGAACAGTACTCAAACCCCTCTCCTAGTCAGGAAACACACAGGCACTTGCCCAATTACATTCCTTGACAGGCCACGTCCCCAGTATTTGTCTTTACAGCCAGACCGATTGGACAAGAAAGGAAAGGCATAAAATCGGCCAGTGCTCCTTTTCATTACTTGATCATATGAGTCTCTTCATTGGCATCATAAAACTCCTCATCTTCACTTCCACTCCCTGCAGAACCGTCTTTGTTTCCAGACTAGAAATAAAAATTAAGTCATTGGTTAGGGTGGAAGCCACTAAATCAATCTCAAAATATGTAAGCATGAACCGTTAAACCTGTGTTGGAAGGCTGGTAGAGAAAATGTAAAAAGACAGGTCAAATCACTGTGTCAAAGTTTTATAAAAGATTGTATGTGAATTAAAATTTCTTTGTGACCTTGGTTCTTCAAAGTCTCTTTAAGGGGTAGGCTTCTAGTGGATGGACTTTCTCTGCTCCACCAGTACACTAGAGAATACATGCAGAAGAAAGACTGCTAGAATGGTTCTGAAGTGATAATCTAATCAGCTTTCTTAATTTAAGTCTAAGGTCCCTGCTCTGTGGTGACCTACTGGAAATAAAAGCTCATAACACAAATAATTTGATTAGGTAAAAGCTTCTCCATGTCTAGCATGGGCATCTTCCTATTCAAGTTTAATTAAAAAGATCTCCCCGCAATACTAAAGGTGTTATGGAAAAGGGAAAAAACTTTACCACTTCACATGTTCAGAAAGTAAACTTCCTATTTTAGGTATACCTACTCCACCCAGGGTCCTTTTAATAAAAATTTACATCATACACTCAGACTAAAGTTAGCTCTCACAGCTAATTGATTTGGCCAGTATCGCAGTTTTTCATGGAACAGATACAAATTACTCCAGTTAAAAAGATTTTCTTGGTAGTATAAACTCCATCTAGTTTGAACGGTTAGGATTTTTTTTCCCCAGCACGCTTCCATCCACACTAAGACTTCTGCCTGCCTAGTCATATGCGAAGGGTGAGAGAGAGGGTGAAAAATAGAGAAATGGAAATCATGTTCCTGACTGACAGTACCATGCAAGCAAAATCTGTAGCTTTAGATCTGTCTTCAGAGGAGTTTTGTTACAGCAATGTGCGTTAACTGCAAAGGAATTTCAAACAGTTTGAGCACTAAGACCTGTCAGAAGATATAAAGGGAATAATGTTATGCTTTTTTTCTGGATTTCTAAAATTATTTGAGGGAAGTCAGGCTATCACTGGATGCCGTCCAACTTGAATATCACATTCGTGTATGTTAATGGGGACAAAACCTCCATTCTGGGCAACCAGGACACGTTATCTTCAAAGTGGCACAAAAGGACAATGGATTCCACAGGAGGAATTCAGGGTGTGCCAAATAAATTTTACATCTTTCTTACAGCAGCTTTGCAAGACCTCTCAATGGCCTTGTCAAATAGGGTTAATGTTTATAAGCTTTCCATTTTATCAGTGTTTTCTTTATGAGCTTTAAAATAAACCCCTAATGTGTCACAGACATTCCAGAAAACTTCACTGCAGTTACAGGTTTACTTCAGGTCTGAGCCAATGACTTTTTTCATTTGGATTCAATAATTTTAACCCATCTGGGGAAAAGTGCTCCTGAAGAGTGGTGTTTGGGTTTTTGTTTGTTTGTTTTTTGTCACTGTTGTCATTGTTCCCCCACCCCATTTTGTAGATCCTGTTCAGGTTGGGATTTTTAAGAAGCCTCCAGAAGTGCAAGCAGGGAAAATTTAAACCTGAGAAGACTGCTTGACATAAGTGAACCAAGTTGTGCAAATAATGATAGACAGGCAACACTGTCACCCTAAAGGGCATTACTGACTTACTTGCTTAGAAAGGAAAATAAAAATGTGACTTTCCCCCCCTCTAAGTTATAACACCTGCACCATTTGCTAGAACTGTTTTTTGTTAGTAAGCCATCTGCACAGTTAAAATGTAATAATGATGTAATTACCAAAATAACAGCTGCTGTAAACTTGATGTAAATATGTATGATGGATTTGTGTAGCCAGCAAGAACGTGGTGCCATAACACATTATCCAGTATGGTAAAAAATGTTTATAAAATGTGCATGTAAAGTAGCTAAAGTATAAAATTAATTGTTACAGGGCTGCCTCTTTCAAGCTTTCTTCAAGGCTGCTTTTGTCACTAACTGTGCTGTCCTGTCAAGAATTATTACAGCTAAAATTGGTAAACAAGGCAACACATTGAAGCCTTTGAAAGGAAGCAACTGATCTCATTCTAGAAATAAATGTTACTCTGCCTCCTGATTTCTGTGAAAATAAGTTTATGACTACCTGTGAATCTCCGACTGCTTGACCAAAAATTAATCAAATGAAAGTAAGAAAGTCCTATAAGGATCCTGCCTCATCTCAGCCAAATGGGACAACTTTTGTTATGAGCTGCCCTTCAAGTCTTCTGACCACTTAATTTTTTATTAGTCCATTGATACTTAAAATTTTGAGACCAGGATTTACACATTAAAGCCTTATTCAAATTCTAACAACCACTTGCAGCTCCCAAGCTACTTCTCTCTAATACCACTCCATTCACAGAGGAGCAGACATGTAAAAAAGCCTCCACACAACTAGAAGAGATACACAGCGCAAGAGATGCCCAGAATTTTGACAAAATTAAATATAAAGAGATATGAAAAAACATTCGAGGAAACCTCACTGAAAACCATCCTGCTGCCACATTTATTTATGCTTATGCCTGGGAGTTTTGTAGTTCCAACATTTTCAACATCTCATTTCCTCCCCAGAATCAACAGTGGGACAGATCTCAGAGGTTAGTGTAGCTTTAACCCATTTAAAGGCTCTCTAGGACAGACCTAACAATTGACACTGCAGAACAGCCAGTGCAGGTCAGGGCAGAAGTACAGTGTGTGGCCTCTGAGAGCAGCCCTTCACAAACAGGCTTCCATTTTCTTTAGCATCAAAGGCTTCTCAAACTTTAGCAGTCAGCTCTGCATGAAGCATGCTACAGCAATCCATCTTCAAGATTAGAAGAGGCATAGACACCACCGAGTCCTTTATCCCAAAGGAAAAGATTGTAAGCTTTTGGCCTTGAAGGGATGAATTAACCCAGCTATGTTTCAGCTTACATTTCCAGACAACATCTCAGATGTGATGGTAAGGTTACTAAACTATCTTCTGTATCTCCTTAGGGCCTATCCTCCACAGGCTAAGAATCACTATCCTAATCTATTCAGAGTGGCATATTCAAGCTGACAGCTGAAATAAACACAACAGAAAAGTACTAGGAAAAAAATGAATATACCTGTGAGCCATCTAGGGCTTGCAATGACATGGCTTCATCACCCAGCCTCCAGTATGAGCATACCTGCAGGTCTGAAATAGTTTCTAGCAAAGGGCTGTTTAAGGTCTCTGGTAACAATAAACTTAAGAGCCCAGACAAAAGACCAGTCGCTCCAAACACAATGTAAGGCAGAGACCACTGTACAGATTTCTGGAAAAAAGGAGAGAGTTAGGTTGAGATTGGTTCCCTCTAGCTCCTACTGCATATTGAAGCACTTAACACTTGCCAGATGGAATGGTTGTAAAGGTTGTGTTCATATTTAGCATAGGAGTTATAGATCCTACTTTTTTTAATTTAACCAATATTGTCAACTGTATCTTATCAATACTATTAGATCTACACAGATTTTGGGATGACTTTAAAAGAAATGCACGTTCTATTTATATTCAATCCTTGTCCGTTACATATGTACTTTTAAACGCATGCAACACCACTTTGTAGAAGGGAAGAGATATGACAATCACAGACATGCTGTCTGGAAGAGATCTCCTGAGGTCATCTAGGCCAAACACCTACTCTAAGCATGACTATAGCCAACAGTAGACCAGGTCAGTCATAGCTTTGCATAACCAAGTATTGAAAAAACTCCAGGGATGGCGATTCCCCCTCTTAGTAGACTGTTCCGGGGCTACATTGAGCCTCTCAAAAAGAGTATTTTCCAAATTTTCTATCTAACCCCCAAGCCAAAATCTGTGGTCACTGGCACCTGCTGAACTGTTCCATGCTGCTGTGAAGATCAAAGTTGCAATATTCCCTCAAGCTTTCATCTGAAGCCATGTGCTCTAGGCCCCCGACCATCTTGGTTACCCTCCACTAGACCCTCTCCAGATTCTTCAACATCCCTCCAGAACTGAGAGGGAATTTAATCTGTGGGCCACACAGTGAATTGGGCCTGATGTAGCTCAGTGTGAAAGTTTGCCTGTTTGTGATGAGAGGACACTGCTAGCTCCCGTTTAACTTGTCCACTGTTGTACCCGGGTCTCTTCCAGCAAGGCTGCTACTCAGTCAGTTGGTTCCCAGTCTCTACTGACCATGTAATTGGTCCACAACAGAAACAGAATTTTATTCTTCTTGTTGGTCTTCATGGGATTTCTGATGTCCCAAAAGGTCCCACTGGACTCAAGATCTACCATTTGGTGTGTCAATCACTCCTCCTTATTTTGCATCCTCTAAAAACATGAGGAGGATGCATTCTGTCTTGTCTTCTACTTGTCACCGGCCACCAAATACTGAGCTTTTCACTATCCCTTTGAGCCTGGTGGTTCATGTAACATTTAAATCTAATACTCCTTTCATCCAGGATACACCTTCTCAGCTTCCAAACAAGAATGCTGTGAGACAGTGTCAAAAGCCTTACAAAAGCCTTTTCTGCCCTCCTCCCTTTCCTCATCCATATTACCTTCTGTGATAAAATGTCTGACTATCAAATCAAGCTGGCTGAGAATTAATTGTCCTTAGTAAATCCATGTTCACTGATCTTGATTACCTTCTTGACCTGCATGTGCTCAGAAACAGACTCTCAGATGTCATGTCCCATGATCTTTCCAGAGACTGAGTTTGAGGTGGGTGCTCAGCCTATAACTCCCTGAATCCACCTTCTGATCTTAGAGACTCACAGAGTATTAACTTTTTTTCCACAGTTATCAGTAACCTTTCTCTATAACAACAGTTTATCACAGATGATAGATGCTTGCCTCACTATCACAGCCAGCTCATTCACCACCTCTGAGGGAATCTTATCCCATGGAATGGAAAGCTTTCCACCTTAAGTGTTCTTGAACCTATTGCTCCTCCACTGTTTGTTTGCCCTCTGCTTCCTCAACCATGCTGATATGGGTCTTAGGATCAGGCTTTGCCTATAAGGGCTAAAGCAAAAGTGTTAAGTATTTCAGCTTATTCCATCTCATCCACCAATAGGATGTCCATCCCATTCAACAATACGCTGAACATTTTCTCTAAACTTCCTTCAGCTGGTGGAATCCTTATTTATGCTCATTGCTAGTTTTAGCTTCAACTGAGCTTTGGCCTTCCTGTCATCACACCTGACAGCCTAAGCAATGTTTATACTCCTCCTTTGACGCCTGTCCCTGTTTTCACATGGCTTGTTGCAAGCAAAACTACACTGGGAAAACGTTTGTGCAAAAGTACAAGTCATCTGCAATAATGCTCCAAAACGTGTACATTTACACTTTCAAATGACCGGTAGAGCAGGCTTATTTTAAAAAAAAAAAGAGTATAGCTGTTTGTTTCAAAAACTCACTTTGTAAAGAGCAATTCTAAATTGAGAAAATAACAGGCTGTGATCAAATACAAGAGCAACAGTTCATCTCTTATCTCAGCAATTAACTTTTCCCATTTGCATCCTTTTTCTAAGATCCCCAGACAAAAGATACCAAAAATGCATTAAAATAGTTGAAGAAATTCCAAACCATCAAGATTCTTAATTTTTTTCCTCAAATCAATGTTCATTTGTTAATTAAAACAGAGCTGTCTTCAATTTCATGGGACTCCTTCAAACATGGCAATCCAAGATTTGTGTCTTCTGCTGTGCCAAATCTCTGCTAGATACAACGTAAGGGATACCCCAACTGCTACATAAAAGCTGCCTACTGAATCTACCTGGGAGACCTGCACCAGCCTTGGCTTTGCCTGTCGTACCCTAAAGGTGCTCACACTTTCACCTACCCAGTGTTTCATTCTGCAGATTAAAAGGCTCACTGCACTCATCTGCCTTTTTGCTAGCCCTCTGCCTGACATAAGACTGCAAAATGGCAGAAAGGAAAGTTATTCCAGATGAAATTCGTCATATTAAAGGAATCATCACTTGACATCAGCAAGCAGTTTGTGTGAAAAACTGGCACACTCTTTTACCTGCATACATGTAAGACTATAGCATAGAGCAAGATAACGGTATCATGCCCACATTTCACTCTTCAGAATTTTTCTTTGCCTTGACAGACTGCTGTGAAGTTTCTGCCCGGAAGCCTTGCCTGTATACAAGGTCTCCACTTCATTCATTCAAAGATAAACCACTTTGCCGGTAATTATAATCCACGGATATTCAGTGAAGTGCACTGACAGTAAAACCAATATATTTTCAGAAACACGAGTTGCTGAGCCCATATGCTTTATCTTGATGCAGTAGACATTTTAACTATGTGGGGTTTTTTGCTATAGCTCACTTAAGGTTTAAAATTGGGTGTCAGTATTTTGGTATTTTGAAATTACTGTACTGCTAAAGTCCACTAGCTAAGCCCTGAAATTCTTACAGGGCTAAAACGCCTTCTGAACTAATAAATTGAGGTTTTGTCTAATCAAATAGATTAGATCACAATGCCTTCGGCCCACCACAGTAATATTAAGACATGCAACTTGCGTATCTTAGTTTATATACCTAATTTATCCAAAATATTCCCACCTATGTAAGCCTCCAATACTTCAGATCAACAAAACAAAACTATACATAACAGTGAGAAGTTCAGACAAACCAATGAAGGGACGAAAGGAGCAATGATTCCACCAACACGGGAAAACATGGAGCAGGCACCCATTCCAACATTCCTAAGAAAACAAAAATCATTAATTAGTGACATGTATAGAAGAAATTATGACTTTTGAAAAGTGCCATTGAGCAATAAAAAAAACCCCAAAACAATAACTCAGTCATGACCCTGACCACATTAGCTTGCAAAGAAGAGTCAAATGTAACTGAAAGCATCCCATGACAGGAATGAAAACATATGCTTTGTGCTTAAGCAGAAATCCTCCTCACATTCAGAATTCTAACATATATATGCATAGAGAGATGCAAAAAATGTGCAATTTCAGTTAATGCATCTTGTCCCTGCCTGAAACTTTGGCTAAATTCCTTTATCCAAATCCTATTTATTAGCAGATTTGCTTACCCATGAAAAACACCACAGAACAGTTTCACTAGTGGCTGATCATCAATAATAATACCTGGTTAAAATATCTATTAAAAATCACACCCATATGATAGATGCTTTTGTCTGCTCTGTCAACACAAGCACAGGGTACTTCTGCCTCTAGTGAGTGAAACCTTACTGTTGCTTACATATGGCCTATGAGGCATCAAATTACTTTTACAAAACTTATTGACCAGCCAATCTTCAGTGTTGCTGGTTAAGCAAGTATAAACGTTTAACAGAGTTGTCTGGTTTATAAAGCACAGAAAAAGTTACAAATATCATTAAAAAAACATCAATACTATTGTTATTTACATTAGTGGTGAGAGTGCTGTCAGCATACCAAGCAGCCAAATGACTATTTTACTGTTATATAAAGAATATGGTTAGTCTGAAGAGAACCCTGCAAATGTGAGGGAAGACGAAGTAAGAAGAAGATAAGGGAAGAAATTTAGCATATAAAACTACAAGTAATCATTATATATAACTGAAAATCTCAAATGAAAAGGTATAGTTAATAGAAAAAAGTAATAGAGAAGGTGATCAGGTAAGAGAACCAGAAAAATGAAGACCTTAAAATTAACGTGTTACCTGATCACTGTGGGATAAAGTTCTGACGTGTAGATGTAGACGATGTTAAATGCAGCACTGATTGTCAGTTTCCCCAGCAAAGACAGAGAGCGACTGTTCACCACTGCAAACACTCCAGTATCTGAGAGAGAAAGTGTGACCCTTGTAAGGGTTCTGAGTACTCAAATACATCTCTGTAATCATTACAATCACAAAACATTATGGAGCAAGAAGGAATCTACTGAAGAATCTGCTACGACACCCGATTGTTCTATTAAAGGACAGTATTTGTCAGAGGTGATCCGTACCCTCAGAAGAACTCTAAAAACTCAAGAGAATCCAAGGAGTCTTCTTTTAGGCAATAATGGCAGAAACCATTCAACATAACTTATATTCTGGGTCTCTAGCTTTGTGTATGCAATCAAATGTGTACAAAGAGAAAAAATAACTGAAGAAATTGATTTTAAATTCATGGCAGACTTGCTGCTGGCCCCAAATTGTGTCCATTCTATTAAATATAATCCAGTAGAAAGACTGGGTTAAATGACTGAACAGTCCTCAAAACTACAGAATGGAACTATTGCTCAATACCAGAAAAAAGAGGAACTGAGTTTTCCTTTCCTTGTCCTAGTGTTACAATAAGTGACATCTTTAAAGCATTAAAATCCTGCCTTAAGGCTCTACTATAACATCAGATTTTAGAAGTGCAAGATAAATATCCTATAAACATAGTAAAAGCTGAAACTAAAACTCAACCTTTTCTGAGTATACCACTAATAAAATACTCAACTAGTTCTCTCAGTAAGTTGAAGAATAATGGATACATTTTTCAAAACTGAGCAAGTTTTCAGTAACAAGAGCCCTATTCAGTGTTAGTTCCACAGCATAGCATGATTGTAACATTATTACTTTGGAAGAAAAAAAAAAAAGACAGGAAGACACTGTAAAGAAACATACCAAATATCCCATCCAGCTCAGTTTTGCCAGAACAGCCAGTGCTTGCTTGCCTATACTGGGCACACGAGAACACCCGTTAAATGCCCACCAAGGCAGGCTACAGCATAAGCCATTACTGCTTAGAACAGATCATGCTCAGCAGAGCCAGGTGCTTGCTTTTGCCAGCAAGTTGTTTCACCTCCTAAGGCTCTTTACTCCTGGCTGACTTTGGCAGCTCAGCACACAGCTGATTCCCCAGGATCGCGCAGTTCTATCCTCTGAAAATCTCATTCTTTTCACATGTTATACTTCGACTGATATGCAAAAGCTACTTGATGACTGGTATCAGCTTAAACAGAGTATCTCTGAGTGTGCAGGCTCTAGCATCTGGAATACTTCTGGAAACTTGTGCTGCACCATTTTAAAAAAAGTTTTACCTATTAGAATTCATTGACTTTTGGAGCAACTTAGGCACTCTCTCATCATAAATGTTTAATCTCTTTGAGTCATGCTTCAAATGTTCAAAGTATTTTCTTTCCTTATGACAGGTGTTATACACACACAAATCTTACAAGCTGAGATGAATTCATGTATCTAGTTTTAAAAGGAAAAATTGCTCACTATTTTGTTTCCATCACTTTGAAAAACATCTAAAAATGAAGAAATTAACATTAGTGAGTCTTTACAAAAAAAGACATTTCACTTCACATTTCTTAAACACTCCTTGCCTCAGAAGATTTTCAGAGTGCTCTCTGAAGTGTAGGTTACATGGCCACATTACTACTACCACAATCACACCAGTCTTGAACATTACAGAGCAGTGAGCAGTTCCAGAGATGGAAACTTAACCCAAGATTAAATTCTTAGGATCTTTTGCCACTGGTCTTTCATTTGGAGAGATACATACATGTTGTATGGGTACTACTTACACTGACATATCACACAACTAATGGAGATACCCCAAGAAACATCATTCTTTGGGATTAAGTCTGAAACACTGGAAAGGAGTGACTGATGTGATCAGAAGTAAAAGGCAGAATCCAAGCACGAAAGTTCAAGTGCAAGCCTTTCTAACAAGCTTTCCTTAAGGCCTTAGGAAGGTTGCTGCTTATCCTTTTTTAAAATTAGCTTCTCTGGCTTCAAAAAATTGAGATTTGCATGTGGTATGAGCCTAATCTACTGGCAACCATCCAATTCTTAGGCTGTAGGATGCTGTGTTTAACAATTCTTATCACATACTCCAGAAACAAAAGGAGATATTTACCTTTCTTTTTAGGAAGGAACATGACAATAAGACAAGCCAATCCTCCCAGGAACAGAAATGTACTCAGTGTTCGCTTCCGACCAAACCTGATGTGCAAGGATAACAACGCTTTATTCTGCATTAGATCTGTAGTTTCCAGAGCAATGAGTCCTCTAAATTCACACCGTGTCTTTATTTGCAGTTGGAAATTCTGAATGCCGTCTCCCACAAACACTTCCTTTCACACTGCTTTTAAACAAGCTTCTACTGCACTCTTAAAATGAGCACCAAGAAGTCTCTATGCAGCGGCTGACAATTTCTAGGATTTTGATTTGCTTCCCACTGTGTGTGCACATTTGTAAAGCTCCTCAAGAGACATGGAAAGAAGAGATTGGGAGGTGAATTCTACAAAAAGTGAAAGACGTTGTCCAGAGCATCATGGCTCAGGAAAAGGCTAAATATCTGAATCACCAGCTGTGCTCACATACTAGTGCACACAGCAACTGTTACAGGAAGCCACACGACAGCTTCAGTTTAGCTGCAATAGCTTTGAGGTAACAGTGAGAATGGGGATTACGAGACAGAGGTGGGAAGAACTCCATCTCGTGTTAGCATGGAGTCAGCACAGTTAGGTTTGACTGATCAAGGAGATCAGCCTCATCTCCAAGCCAGATCTGGATGGCTCACTGATAAGTGAGCTACCGAGAACAAGTTAAACTGTTATTTGAAATAAAGATAGATCAATGGCACTGTCAAATTGAAGCAGGAAGCCCCACACAACAGATATAAGCTAGGAGATGCAATATATAGGAAACCTAACTTCAAGAAAAATTGTAACAAAACAAAACCTTGAATGAGTTAATAAATTTTATACTTACCATTTTTGGTTAATCAAGTAAATACAGATTGGGTATGCTGGGATTTCTATCAACCCTGAAAGGGCTAAATTGGCATAAATACTTCCACCTAAGTCACCCACATTAAGGGTAAGACCATAGTAAACCAAGCTGCACACAAACCTGCAAAAGACAGAAAAAGAGTAACATCAGAGCTGCTGCTTTGCCTGCAAAATCAAAACATTGCTCTGGCACAATACACTATAAACTCTATTTAGTGTTTCAGAAGATGGGTCTAAAATGTTCCCCTACAAGTGTATGATGCCTTCTAGGTAAAGAAGGCGTTTTGTCTCTACACAGACCCAATTCCTGACTTATTACTTGGTTAAACTTAATAAGACTACACATTAGAATGTGCATAAACCAGAATAAAGTTAAAATATGATCATGATTATATTAAACTTGAGAAATCATGTCTTTGTCCTTTTTGTTTTTATCAGGTTCCACTTACGTCCATACTTTTCCAATTGTGTGTAGACCCTTTCTCAAACAGCTCAGATGATACTTTGCCTTCTTTTAATTTCTACACCCTGGTCTAATTTTAGTCATTCTCCAACTTTGATTTTTATTTTTCTTTTGTAACCCTGACTGGTTGTTGTCTTTACAGAAAGGAAAGGAGCAGGTCATTAATTCACTCTGCAGGAAATCAGCAATTCTTATTTAAGGAACGGAAAAATCAACTATTCTGCAGTAAGCATTTAGAAAAGCAACAGCAAAACAGCTCTGTGTTGTCTGCTGACAAAAATAATGCCACTTTTTTTCTTAATCAATATACATTCCACAAATATATGCATTATAAAAGAATCTGTATGAACAGTAATGCCAGAGGACTCACATACCATGTCATACATAAGGTTTATTTCAAAGCAGCAGAAAAAGAGCTCATGGCAAGCACAGCTCTCCAAAAAACCCAGACACTTTTGGAGTTAAGCTTCTGCAAGTAACTAAGGATAGTATCATGGGTTCCTGCTCCTTACTACAGCAACCGCTAGCACTGGCAGCAGTTTCTCTTAAAATAAACACACTCATTAGACAAGGCAGGCCACCCACCTGCTAATGAGCTCCTTACACACAAACCAGAATAATCCAAATGACAAAGTAATGACACAGCACTAGGCCAAATAGGAGGACAGCATGAGCAACCTCAGCAGCCTTTCAGGGTCAGAAAGGAAGAGGTAGCTCTCAACTATTTTGAGATAGAAGCAGCATGACAGAAATGCAAAGGTAAAACACCTCAGAACTAGACTGTAAAAATGGCTTCATATTAGAAATGCACTAAGGAAATACTATAGCACAAGGATTCTTTTTAGGTACTGTGTCCCTGTACCTAGGGCTGAGACTAAGTAGAATCTGCAGGATGAGTCAATTCTCAGCAACATGTTCCCTCAAAGACTTAAGAGACAACAGTAGCACAGCTGGGCCTACAAAGTATTTCAAGTACCAGGTAAACATCATGATCAAGGTGCGTCCCAGGAGAATCTTATATCGGAACAGATCCAAGAAGCTGCCAGCTTCTCTGGAGCCCCTCTCTGCTGGAAGTTTTAATGAAAAAGTGCACTTCTGCTTGCGGTTCCTCTTTGCAATGAGGTAGAGGGCATCTTCTGCTTCATTCAGCCGGCCTTGTGAGTAGAGCCAGCGGGGGGACTCTGGAATGAATCTGAAACACACATACATAGACAGCTTTAGGGCTTTTCTTTTCTATAAGGCTGGACTTGTCTATGGAAATAAGGCTGAAACATTTCAGTATATAAAAAAAGAATTTTTCAAACAACCCCTCAGGTATAAAATTCACTTATCGAAACAGAGACAAAGAATGCTGAAAGGAAAGGGAACATAAGGTCATATGTAATTTAGATACCCAGAAATTACACTGAGTATATACACACACGCGATAACACAAGTTACAGCACCATTAAGACTCCAACTTTGGAGAATTCAGAATTAAGGAGGCATCACATTACTACAAGTAACACAGGATGGTTTTGTAGCACCAACTAGTCGTTTTCAATTTTCCAACTTTCTCAAATTCTCTCCTGTAGATAGGAAAGCAGAGGCTGTGCAAAGGTCGTGCTCTTTCTCTCCACGTGCACTGTTCACATTACAGGTCTATACCTCCAACACAGCCTACAAAACAAATCTATTACTTTCAGATTCCCAGAACTAATTTAAACTTTACTCTTCTGCCAGAAGCTTTAAGATTTTTGCCTCTGACAAGAGATGACATTTCTCCTTTAAATTTAAAGGAAAGTGATTTTGTGCTTTTATAGAAGAGAGCTTAGGAAGGAACATGTTTTCTTCCCCATGAAAAAAAAAAAATCTGGTAGTATTTTCTTCACAGAGCAATTTTTAAGCAATGTGGGAAGAACGCAGTGTGAAATCTGGAATAAAAAAAAAAATCCTTTCTTACAGTAAGATCGGCCTCTGAGCACAGCTCTGAAGTCCCAAGCATAAAGCACTTAAAAAAAAATTGTACTTATCAATCTGAAAGTTAAAAATTTTCTTCCAAAGGCCCCAAACACCACTAAGTTTTGAAATATCAAAAGTGTCATCTCTGCCTTTTACCTCATGAACAGCTTCTAAGACCTTTCCCTGAATTCTGATGCTTCCTTTAAAATGGTGTGTTTATTCTTTAGCACAAAGCTTTATTCAAAAAAGTTAGTTACTGAAGTTAAATAGGTTTCAGAAGGAAAATATCCTTAAGTTTAAACAGCAGCGAAAGTTCCTGTCTTTCAGTTACTGCGATTTTGCTGTCAAGAAGTAACAAGAGCATACTACATCATACAGCTTTCAGTGCTGAAGTCAAACACAAAACCCCTATCATCTTAATAAAGAAGCCATCATCTTATTCCTTCCTAATCACATCTGAAAAATAAAAGCTGCCCATTTTTTCCTTTGCACATCACCTTTAAGACTGTATGCGCAAGCAATTTTAGTGCTGTACCTTCTGTGTAAGCACAATAAGAGAAACATCATGTTATCACATAACCACAAAAACATTTTTTTATCTTTTAACATGTATATATAGTGTCTTGTAGCATACCAGATAACAGTTTAGATCATCTACATATGGCAGTTAAAGAATAGGATGTGCTTCTAACATCACTCTAGAGACTGTTCCCATCTACAGTAATAATGCATATACAATACAATGTACACTTACATTTTCAAATACTGCAGCACTGCTATTTAAAGAAAGCACAGAACATGGGGTGGTAGAGGTCGAAATACCTTAGTTACATCATTTCATAACATCCTAGAAAGTCACCTTGACTTAGCTGTTCGGTTTGTTTATTTTTTTTTTTCCTCTTTAACATCTTTCTTGATGAAACTTGGTTTGAAAAATAACTTACACAGAGAGAAGAAAGACGACTGTTCCTTCCAGGTTAACGACAACAGCCAGAGTCCTCCAGGAACGAATGAAGTACCCTAATAAAGCATACTGGGCAATTCCCACAGCAAAGAACAAGCCACCAATAGATCCTAACATACAATTAAAAACAAAACATTATCACTCCTTCAAGGAACATTACTAACTCCCAACACATGGGATCAGACAGAAACTAACACTTCATTAAGAAAAATTCACTCAGCAATACCAGCAAAACCACAGCTATTTGACCAAAGAATATTCTGTTCTTCAGCCATGCAGAGCATAAGTATTACATCTAATTTCAAAGATCAACACAAGTCGCAAAAGCACTTTTGTAGATCCTCCTCACCCAAAGCCTCATAAACAAACATTTCAGCTTTCTATGTGTAAAAATAACTACTACCAACAATAGGAAAACTGGTAATTTTAGGAATATATAGTAGTCATTTGTAGTTCTCATGATTTGTAAGATACCCTGTTTTAAAACAGTCTCAGCACAGCATTTGTTTGTCACTTGTCACAGACCGAGTCAGGCCCCAGAGCTGTAACAATACAATTTATAATCGTAGCTGAAGGACAGCTTCAACACTAGCAGCCAAGACAGTTAATGGTGTCTGTATCTTTTGTTCTAAATTCTAAGGTTGTTTACCACCTGGGACAATTTTTTTTTTTAAACATATAAACAACAGTTGTCTCATCTTCCTATCACATAAATACACTTTTGGTTTCTTTTTGATAAGGACCAGGAATGAAAGCATTTATATTTAGCATACAAACACGAGGCTCTGTTTAGCAGAGCCCCAAATTCCAATGGATTCAGCTAAGTTATCACAAACCTTGGACAAATATTTAGCTGTGTAACATTCACAGGGGATATTTCAACTGGACCTTTGTTAAGTTGAGCGATGCAGAAATCCGAATGGCGCCAAATCATCTATTGTGTTTGTCTAAAATTCATACAAAGCAGGGCTCAAAGACTGTGGCCACACAGATGCTCAGAGTTAAATTTGCAACTGCTATGGTGCCAGCTTTGGTGTGCAAGACTGAAATCTCTAAATCCTGATAAGAAGGCACTGGCACTCCAACTTTACCTGCTAATGCCCAGTAGGCAGTGCCCACACACTCATTCAGTAGAACAAAGGCCACCAGTGACATCCCACCATTCATCATCCCTACCAAGAAGCGAGAGATGGCAAAGAATTCATATGAGGGTGAAAATCCATTTGCAATGGCAAACAAGATGTCAAGAGCAAAACCTGGAAAACAAGGCAAAAGGCTTCATTTCAGAAGAGTACCTGAAGAAAAACAAAAGCATTTATCAGTATCTTTACTTCATGTTCAGTGGCATCTGTCCTAAGCAATCACAGTCAACAACTACAACACAGGTTTGGTCAGAAATTTAAGTACCTGAAGTCAGTATCATAAAAGGGGGGACACAAAAGAAGTGGTTTCTGATACCTAATTTGCAGTACTAAACCTTCAAATTCACAGCAGACAGTTTTTTCATATACTCAGAACTACTGTCTGGCTCCAGTTAAAATGGAGTGATATTTATCCCCATACAGAAGCCACAGATTAATTATGACCAAGCATCTCTCCTCATACTTGGAAAGCTGTCTATACAAATTAGAGAAGAGAAACATTAATAGGGAACAGTACATGGGGAGTTTGCACTGCATAGCAGGCCCACCCTTATCTGCTTTAAATGAGGTTGTTCCTTTGACAAAAATAATCAGTTTTTTTAATTCTACGTGCTCATCCACTGACACACAACTTTATAAATACATTCGCAAACCATGAAGTTCCAAACGTTGTTTGATCTGAGGACAGTAAAAAAAGTTTGAGCTTTAAAACAATGAGGATCACAAATCCACAAAAAGTGAATCATGCAGACAGAAGATAAGAGGTGCAACAAATTCCTAGCATGTTATACATGTAAGAACATTGCTAACAAGTTACTAATAGTATTAATTGCAACCTGTAAAGATCCCACGAGCATGACATGCATGAATGCAAGCCCTTACGGTATGATTCCTAAATCCAGAACACCTCCCAGTTATTCAGATGGTGATTGAACAGTCAAATATTAATTTCTTGTCCCTATTTATATTCCTGAAGTATACTGGAAGTACAAAACAAAAAAGAAAATCAAAATCATTGCACATGATTCACTGCTGCGTATCAAGCCCTCAGCAGAAACTGGGCTTTTGCCACTGATCTTCAGACACACACCACCTCCATTAATTTTGTTAGGTGGCAGTAGTTACCTGTAAGATAGACTTTCTTCCTCCCAAATCGATCTGAGAGTTGGCCAAAGGAGATTGCTCCAACAAATACACCACTGAAGTAGAAAGAACTGGCAGCACTGACTTTGTACGATGTGTTGCCAATTAAAAACCACTGGATAGGGGAAAACAAAGGTGAATTAACCAGAATCCAAGCAGTGCAGGAGTTCACCAACAGCTAACAGTTGGAGGGGCATGACACGTATTTTAAGGAAGATCAAACTTTGCATAAATCTCCAAAGCATCACATTCTGTCAGTCATCAAAACACAGCTGCTGTCTCCCAGACTCAGTGGGTCGTACTAATCAACTGTACAGTTCCCCCACATCACACATGGTCTTTGTTTCTGAAATCAAGGACAGATCCCTCAAAATATTGTAATTCTTGCAGTCTTCTCTTTCTCCCGTTTATTGTATTTTCTCACATAAATTTATTAGCTTAAATAGACTCAGTCCCACCTCTTGACATATGTCACTGCAGTGTGTAGGCACACTATGCAAAAATAAAAACTGTGGTTTATGTCCAAAGATAATCCTGCATATGCTCCTCCTTATGAACTGTCTTGTCACTGAGAAACACTTTGGTAGAGGTAGACAGGTTTTCTGGTATTGCAAATACTCATCTTTCTTACAGTGTACTTTGTGTCATTTCCAGTTCTTCTCAATTCCAAATAAAAACCTGATCTTTGTACATCTGATTCTTAGAGATTTCACGTCTCTGGCTGAACCTGACAGGAAGTTTTTCCCACGCAAAACTGTAGAATGAAAATGTGCCATGCTCTTACTGTTCAAACGTTATTTCCTTTTGTATTCTAAAAACTCCACATCTTGTGTTCTTTCCTTTTTCTACTCCTCTTGCATCTTGAGATAATGTTTCCTTTTAGTGACACCCTACTTTTTTTACTGTGCTGGTAAGCTGGTGATTATGTCATTATCCCTGCAATAACACTCTAATCTTCTCCTCATAATCTTCTCTTCCTCTACCAAAATCCTATTAGATATCCTTTCTAGCAAAGCTTATATTATTTCAAAGCTCAGTTATAAGCTACCTCACCATGAGAGCAGAGCCATGCAATTAAACTTTACCAAGATTAGGGAGCTAACAAAAAAAAAATCATTCAGAAGCTCCAAGAAAATAACTTGCTTACTCTCCGTACGTGCTTCATTTTGAATTGTCACTTTAATAGTGAGGTGTTTACTGATACAGTAGGTAATGCACTCATAAAGCATCAAGACTGTCAAAATTCAATTCTAAAACTAACCATGTGACCACAAATCAGCTTTTGAAGCTTCTCCAGATTTTAAAAACAATTCCCAGAAAAATATAGTTGTGTAATAATGGCATATGAGATTAATTTTATCTTGAAATAACATCGTCAGTTTGTTTTATAAGAGCTACAAGAACCATGCCCTAACTTTTAGTATAAAAATTTAAAAAGTTGCCAACATGGAAACTCTAACATTAGATGCTTTCTGACTAATTCAGGGATTAAGGAATAATTTGGTGTGAAGCAGTTTGTTCTGCAAATTAATCTCAACAGCTAAGAAACCCTTTAAAGGGCTGAAGGCTCTTCTACATAAAGTATGTTACATATATATGCTTGATATTCATAAATCATGTTTTTTATATCAGAATATTTTTCAGTGTAAATTTGCGACGGTCATGTTATTACTAAACGATGCCACAAGATAAGCATTAAAAACAGCCTCCTCAAATGTAGAAAAAGCTTCTTTACACATAAGTGATGGAATACTGGAGATAGTGATGAGCCATCCCCCAAATAAGTGCTATCTCACTAAAATCATTGTATTTAACACAACTCAACTTCCAAATACACTACACATTCAGCTAAAAAATTCTGAAAAACCCCATATAGTAACAGTGGGAAACAGGAGATGTAAGAAGATTTTATACACGTGGGCCTTAACTGAGAAATATGTTAAAGACTACAAAGCAGAATCTACTCAAGTTGCCTTGGGAATTTTTTTTTTTAGTTTTGTATTTTTCAAGTAAACTTAAACTTAATTCTCTACCTGCATTTGTTATTTATGCAACTAAAATGCATAATAATCTTTATAAAATTTATGACCTAAACCACTACTAGGTCCACAAACAGGTCTCATTAAGAAAGTAAAAGATTCTTGGATAAATTAAAAAGCAAAAGCCAAACAACTTTGAAAACCTTACTGAGCTTCAAATAATGCTTAAAAAATCCACCATCCATTAGGATTTTAATTTAAATAGTGGCATAAGTATTCATAACCTCTTTATTACCAGAACAATAAGCAATGCCTGTTGTACACAACTGTTTGGTACTATTCCAAAGTTGGCAGTTTTTATTCATATGCTTACAATCAATGAAGTTAAGTGCTTTACAGGACTAATTCAGATAACATTAATACCTCTGGACAATAGCCATGAATTACCAAGTGGTACTACACTTGACTCAACTGTACAGCTCTAAATTCAGGTCTTGTAATACATGCACTTAGGGCTTTTGCACAGGACAATTTGACATTAACATATACTGAAGGCCTCAAGAAGGGCAGGTGTTGCACACATCAGTGCAGAGTCTGGAATCCTTTCTGTAGGGACTGTGGCTAGACTGTGAAAGATGACACTTACAAAATACAGAGGCCACACCAATAAAGCTAAAACTTGGTTTGGGATAGAAATGGGGGGGAGGTGCTTTGTCCACCTGACTCCCCACAGCCCATATCTATCTTATCTGGAATTGCAAAAACTGCAGAAGCCACTTCCTCTCCAGCTCTTCCACTGCTTGCTAACTGCATGATGAATGCACTACGTGCCTTTGACCTTAGCAAGGGAATTACAAGAGGTGGCCAGAAGGAGCTCAGGGTCCATAAAGGATTTTGAGCACATTAGTACAATGAATGGCATGATCCCAGCTCAATTGTGGAACCAGGCTACAGGATCCAATACATACCTTCCACACAGAAAAAGTAGGAAATTTTGGGGCAGAACTTTGGCCAGGATCTGCACAGGAAAATAAAGCTAGTTTTTGTTGCCAGTAAAGATATGAGTAGATTACCTGCTCTATACCTGGAGGTAGCACATGTGTCATTTGCTAATCAAAACACATATTAGTGTGGAAGAAAGAAGCAATACAATCAGCTCCCCACAACAGACCCAGTAAGATTTACTACTCAGTGAGGCAGCAAAGCACATTGCAGACTTACCTCAGAGACTATCGATGTGAAGCTGCTGCTGAAGTGTACATGCTTATGCACCTCGCTGCCATTGGCAGTCAGAAGCCATTCCCCAAAAGCTCTCTCCTCACTCGCTGACTGGTTGCTATGACTCTGGTTAGCTGAGAGCTCTTGGAGGTCCCAGTGGTAGGGAGGAGTTGCACCCACCAATGCAATGAGGATGGCTTCAGTGGCCACATAGAGCTGGCATGAAAGACAAAACACATCAGAAATGCTAAACGTATATCCAAACAATGCTTCTTCTGCAGCTGGATCAAATCAGTATTAAAAAATATTCCTATTTTATATTTGCATTTACCACTACAAGATGGCATGTATAATCCCTGCCTACCAAATATCACACACTAAAGAACTACAACTTCAACATGGTGATTCTCATACTTTTTATCTGTTGATTATTTGAGAGAAAAGAAGTTCCCCTCCTGACACCCTTCCCTCAGTCAAAGGGCCCCAACTCTCACACATAGCAAGTACACCTCCTGGATGCATGAAAAGTTGTTAGTAGTAATAAGGAGACAAAATAAATCTATTCTTTAATGCAAGTATATTACTCTATTATATCTTCTCCTTCCACCGGTATTGCTCATTCCTCTGATTTGATATTTCTAATAGATATCCTCTTCACTGTTTCATATCTAATTTTTCCCACTTTTACCAAAACTCATTCTTTCTTATTTTTTAATCTTCTGTGAACCTGTATAATCTTCTGTGAACCTGTTTTACTCAAAAAAAAGATAGAGGCACACATGTGAATGTACATATGCAGAGGCACACGTGAATATACATATGCAGAGGCACACACGTGAATATACATATGCAGAGGCACATAGCTACACATTTATACAGACACACAAGGTCTAAATATAGTGATTAACAGCTGGCTTTGTTTAGGAAAGAATAAATAGAACTGCTGGAAACCCAGACGTTTCAAGCCTGGTCTAAAGCTGGGTCACTGCTGCATGCTCAGAACAACATTCACAGGCCACATTACAACTTCTTAAAACAGGTTACATCTTAAAACCCAGTATTTTTAAACCTGTTTGAACACAGAAGTGCCACATGCTCGTTAACAAAAGACAGATCACTGTCTTCTGAGAGACAAAAGATGTTGCTAGTAACAAGACAGATCCTCCCTCTCTAAATAAAACTGCCTCTTGTCTCAAGCCCTCACTGAGGAACAGTAACATGACCGAAAAAAAAACAAACCAGGAAGAATGGACCAGCAGGAAGTGTGTTCCCTCAGAAAGCTGCTACACACAATTCTCAAAACTGAGAAGACCATAGACACAAAAAAAAGAAGTTTGAAGACCTCTGAATTCTGATGCAAGCAAGACCAGGTAATCCTATTCTGCTCTGTACAACAGCTGAGCAGTCAGAGTTACGCCTAAATCTAAATGAGAATTACTACTAAATGAATAGAGATCCCTGAGTTACTACCTGAAAACATTTTCTTTCCATCAGCTCCTTATTGCATTCTACATGATAAACTGCTACTGTAGTGGCAAGAGGTAAATATTTCTTTTAAATAATTCAATTTTTTTTTATATATAAAATTACTGAATATCATAAGGAATTTGGAAGAAACCCCACAATGGCAATTGTATTATTATTTAAGCTAAAGAAGAACTTCTAGATATACAACAATGAAAAGAACTCATCTGTGAAAGGCAGCAATGACTCAGAGTGCCTGGGGAAAAGGTGTTAAAAAGCTGAGTGGCCATGCTGCAAGGGATGTGTGGATATGGCACGCTCAAGAACAGTTTGGAACTACTGAGAAATGAGAATTACAGGTCATGATCTGTGGTAAATCCCTGTATTCTCACTCAGACAATTCCACATCAGGACTAAGTGATAACATCCTTGTTTTTGTCTTGTGAAATAAACTAATTTTTGAAGTAGTTCAGGAAATTAATTCCTCAAGGCATTCAGTTTAGAGAAAGCAAGCATAATGCTTCTCATTTTTGCTTTGGGTGAAACTCATCTCAGCTACAGAAAACTAGCTTAAAAAATAAGTGATTGTAGGCACACAAAGAAATACTACAGATATTTTTTCAATAAAAAAGTCAGTCTTAAGCATCCCATTGGCTGCAGCAGGCAAGGATATAACAAAGATAGAAACACATTCAATTGATCTGTTGAATCAGATAAATGTATGAAGATGGAGACATGTTTTGATGTTATCAAATAGTATCATTCTGTATTCAAGTTCACTGGACTCACTGCTGACAAGACTGTTTGAGTGATCAGCTGCCTGGTACTTTGAGTAACAGCCATGGTAAACCCTCTTTACTTCATTGCAAAAACACAAGCCACAAGGCACCCCCCAAAATTAATTTACAGTTCTGAAAAGAAACATTTTCTAGAAGCGGTCTTAAAAACACGACAAAGCAAATTCAAAACAAGTTCAAAATACAGTTTTATCATTCAAGTAAGAGGCAGGACTTTGTTCATGAACCTGGAGATTCACTCTTAAGAATTCTAAATGCTTGCACTTAGCAGTAACATAGCTGTATAGACTGGTGATCAATATAAAATTCTAGCAAATCAAATAGAAATACTATATAACAACTTTATAAGGTATAAAATGGCTACATTATATGCACTGTGGCTAACAAAGGCCTTCATTTTTCATTTGTTCTGTAACCTAGGTCAAGTCAAATTTATGTCATTTAATGTATATCTTCTATTCATAAAACATTTTAATTGGCTCTATGTGGATATTAACGGTTCCCTACCGAATTCCCTGCACTGATCTGTATTAATCAAGATGAATACCAAGCACAGGGGGAGGAGGCAGCAGCTTGTAGTCACTGATGATGAAATACTGAGAGTTTTGTTAGTTTGGTTTACATTTCTTCTGTTTGTTTATATTCTCTGTAGTTTAAAATTTTGTAGTCTGTCTAGAATAGAAGTCTGTGGTATAAGGAGACTCATTAAAATGCAACACCTTAGTAACTTGTAAACTTTCACTTTCTCTGTGAAGTAGAAGGAATTTTAGTTAGCCATTCATATCCGTTTCATTAACAGGTTTTGAAATTTACTTAAAATTAACATTTTAAAAATAATATTAATAGAAATGCCTGGAATGTCTTGACCATCCTTCTTGGTGTTCATTTTCGTAATAAATTACTTCCAAGAAAAATGTTAAGTCTCTAATAAGACTAGCAAGGGAGGGAGAGGAAGAACTGAAATTGCTTCATTTGTATATAATAAAACACACAAAAATAATTTCAGAAACTCTTTTCAACCTCATAATTTACCCATTATGAAACACAAATGAAAACCAAAAGCAAGACAAACTCTACTAAGAAATGCTTTCAACCTTTTGCTCATCAGCAATTCACAACCAGCTTGGTCATTCTAGACAAGTATCAGCTGAAGCATTACCTGCTGAACAAAATAATGAGTAAGCAACTTCTGACCTTTCAAAGACAGAAATGTTAAAACTGCACCTCGAGGAAAGATAGAAATTAAGGAAGAACAACCAAAAGACCTTGCTCTGGTAGAAGCCTATTATGAAGAGGTGGTTACATTTTAGGATTAGAGTCTTTTCTCCTGAACCCATGACAAGCATCTGGGGGGCTTATTTTTGAAAGTGTAATGATCTCATCTGCTCCAAGTTATTCCAAAAGGGTGATCTGCAAATAGCTTAACTGCCCATGTTTTCTGCAAAGACAGTCCAAGTGGCAGCTAACTCCTGCGTACACGTTTGCCTGACAGGGCCATGGGAACACTGCACATACCCTGTACCTGTACTCCTGCCTACTGAGTGATGACAAAACCAGTTATGGCATTGGTGATAGGACTGCAGAGCACATACCTAAACTGCCAACTCCTCAGCACAAAGTTGCTTTAATAATTATTTTGTAGTCTATCACAATAAAATTAATCTACCCTTTTTCTGCCAACATGCAGAAGTGATCTTTACCAGCAAAATCTAGTGGAGTACTTTCAGCTCTGCACTTCTGTCACGAGTGCCACTCGAGAGATCCAGTATTTCTAGGTAAATCTCTCTATTTGAGATTTTTCAGTTATTGTCAATGAACTTAAGACAGAAGGTATGTCAGTCTGCTTATAACTGGAGAGCCAAAAGGCAAAATGCAGATGGGAACAAAGGCAAGTCAAAACAAAGTTCCACAAAGTGATCTGTAAGAACAAAACAATATTCTTCACACAAGATCACAAGTGAATTTAACTCTGAAGATGCATACTGCATTAAATTGTGCCAGTAACATGAGATTCTTCCACCTCTTCCACCACTGCATTCTCCCAAACACCAAAATACACAAAAAAAACTTACCATCAAGAAACAGGTTGCTATTACTTCCTGCAAGCTGGATTTCTCCCCAGTGCTACAGATACAAACAATGAGTTTGCTGCTAAGAAGTCAGCTGTCAGTCTTGTACTGAAGCAAAATCTTGCAAGACAGTTACCTGTATGGTTTGCTCCGGGACTGATGAAACAACTTACAGGGTTGAAAAGAGCTCAACAGGATTCCTCTACTGTGGTATACCAGTCTCTTGAATAAATTAGCACTTAGTGTGCTACCTACCACATAAACATCAAAAGTGACCATAAATACATTTTTTTTTCAAAATAACATAGGAGGTACAGGCAACGCACATGATACTAAGGAGACCTGGAATTTGCTAAAGACCTAGAATGGTAAAGCAGGTGCTACAATGCTTCTGGCATGTTACAAAGCACATGACCCTGGAAAACCTCACAGCCTTGCCCTACAAAGCATCAAGTTCAGTGACAGAAATTAACAGAAGTTTTGCTATATGTTTAAACGGCACAGCAGCTGACTGCATGCTGGTAGACTGAAAACGTGAGTCCAGAACTGCTTCAGGCAGTACAGCCTAAAGCATTTGCATTTTTGTAGTATGTCAGACTACATGCAATGCTGCTTAAGAAAGGCAAACATACTTATCCAGCATGGAGTCATACTGCATCTCAAAGGGCTGGGACAGGACTTGCCAATGCTACAACTGGATCACCCTGAGCAAGGGAAATAAAGTAACCCTCACACCATAGGTTGACAGGCCTCTGAACACGAATAACAAAGTTGGAAGTATTATTTTTCTGCCTTTATAAACAAAAGGCAGAAAGCAAACTTAGGTGCCTGTGCTGGGTTTGAACGGTGGGGTTTTTGGTAGAGAGGGAGGGGGCTACAGCGGTAG